TGTTGAGGGGCCTACTGTTCAGCACACCCGTGCTGGTGAGAGGGGCCTGCTGTTCAACACACCCGTGCTGGTGAGAGGGGCCTGCTGTTCAACACACCCGTGCTGGTGAGAGGGGCCTGCTGTTCAACACACCCGTGCTGGTGAGAGGGGCCTGCTGTTCATCACACCCATGCTGGTGAGAGAGGCCTACTATTCATCACACCCGTGCTGGTGTGAGGGGCGTGCTGTTCATCACCCCCGTGTTGGTGAGAGGGGCCTGCTGTTCACTCCCATGCTGGTGAGAGAGGCCTACTGTTCATCACACCTGTGTTGGTGAGAGGGGCCTGCTGTTCACCACTCCCATGCTGGTGAGAGGGGCCTACTGTTCAACACACCAGTGCTGGTGAGAGAGTCCTGCTGTTCATCACACCAGTGCTGGTGAGAGAGGCCTGCTGTTCAGCACACCCGTGCTGGTGCGAAGATGGCGCTGATGATGGTAGCCTCAGCCGGTCGGTGCGCCCTGTTTTGTCTTGTTTTGTCTGTCAATTCAGTGTTTTGCCAAGATTTTCGGAGTTCTCTAACAAGAGACGAACTTTTAAATATCAGGGAAACAACTCCTGTGGATTTAATTCCTACTTTTCTGCTTCCAGCGGCAGAATTAGTAGGCATTCTAGTCAATGCCGCGCTAGGCTTTGCTCAAGCGACGAAACGCCGCCCAAGGGGTAAACGGTCGGGGGCTCTAGTACGGCTACGCAGACGCGGGATCCGAACAGTGCTTCCGAGCTTTTTCCTCTCCAACGTACGTTCACTGTGCAACAAAATGGATGAACTTCAGCTACTGATGGTAAAAAACAAAGACTTTCTTTCAGCTTCTGCATTGTGCTTCACGGAAACATGGCTGTGTGATTTGATTCCGGACACTTCGCTACAACTAGCAGGATTCCATCTTGTAAGATCGGATCGTGACATAGCACTCTCCGGCAAGACGAAAGGCGGTGGTATTTGTTTTTACATTAACAGTGGCTGGTGTGTAGATGTCACAGTGATTCTGCAACATTGTTCTCCACTCCTTGAATCAATTTTTATAACCTGTAAACCGTTTTACTCGCCTCGCGAGTTCGCGTCGCTCATTTTGGTCGGAGTTTATTTGCCGCCTTGTCCTCAGGTTAAAGAGGCCCAACGCATGCTCGCCGATCAGATTCTGAGTGTGGAGCGAGCAAATCCAGATTCGTTGGTTATCGTACTTGGCGACTTTAACAAAGGTAATCTCAGCCACGAACTCCCCAAATACATACAATTCATTAAATGCCCAACCAGAGAAGGGAACACTCTGGATCACTGTTACACTACAGTCAGTAGAGCCTACCACGCCGTCCCCCGAGCAGCACTAGGACACTCTGACCATGCCATGGTCCACCTGATTCCTGCATACAGGCAGAAACTAAAACTCTGTAAACCTGCTGTGAGGACATCTAAACAGTGGACCAGTGAGGCTGTGGAAGATTTGCGGGCGTGCTTAGACTGTACTGACTGGGATATGTTCACGACTGCTACCAATAGTCTGGATGAACTCACAGAGGCTGTGACGTCCTACATCAGCTTCTGTGAGGACTGCTGTATCCCAACACGTACCAGGGTGAACTTTAACAACAATAAGCCCTGGTTCTCAGCAAAGCTCAGAAGGTTGAGGTTGGAGAAGGAGGAAGCGTTTAGGAGTGGAGATAGAGACAGATTCAAGGAGTCGAAGAACAGGTTTAGCAAAGCGGTGAGAGAGGCTAAACGACTGTACTCAGAGAGACTAAAACACCAGTTCTCTACAAACGACGCTGCTTCTGTCTGGAGAGGGCTCAGGCAGATCACCAACTACAAACCCAGAGCCCACCACACCACTAACGACTCCCGCCTAGCCAACGACCTGAACGAGTTCTACTGTAGATTTGAAAGACAATTGGACTGTCCTGAACCACCCCTTCCAACCCAAGAGGCCCCATCCCCCACCAATACTACAGAGACGACTATCTCCTTTCAGGAGGGAGAAGTTAATAGACTTTTCAAGAGGCAGAATCCACGCAAAGCAGCCGGGCCGGACTCTGTCTCTCCAGCCACCCTCAGGCACTGTGCTGACCAGCTGTCTCCGGTGTTCACCAACATCTTTAACACCTCCCTGGAGACATGCCATGTACCAGCCTGTCTCAAGTCCTCCACCATCATCCCTGTGCCCAAAAAGCTAAGGCCAACAGGACTAAATGATTACAGACCGGTCGCCCTTACATCTGTGGTAATGAAGTCTTTTGAGCGCCTGGTCCTGGCACACCTCAAAGCCATCACAGACCCTCTCCTGGACCCCCTTCAGTTTGCCTACAGAGCCAACAGGTCTGTGGACGATGCAGTTAACATGGCCCTCCACTTCACCCTACAGCATCTGGACGCCCCAGCATCCTACGCCAGGATCCTGTTTGTGGACTTCAGCTCTGCCTTCAACACCATCATCCCTGCCCTGCTTCAGGACAAGCTCTTCCAGCTGAACGTGCCATACACCACCTGTAAATGGATCACAGACTTCCTGTCTGACAGGAAGCAGTGCGTTAAGCTGGGAACACAAGTCTCTGACTCCAGGTCCATCAGCACCGGAACTCCTCAGGGCTGCGTCCTTTCCCCTCTGCTCTTCTCCCTGTATACCAACAGCTGCACCTCCAATCATCTGTCCGTCAAACTATTGAAGTTTGCGGATGACACCACCCTCATTGGGCTGATCTCTGGTGGGGATGAGTCTGACTATAGGTGGGAAGCTGACAATCTGGTGACCTGGTGTAGCCAGAACAACTTAGAGCTAAATGCTCTAAAGACAGTTGAGATGGTTGTGGACTTCAGGAAGAATACAGCACCACTCACCCCCATCACCCTGTTAGACTCCCCAGTAAAAATTGTAGAGTCCTTCCGCTTCCTGGGCACTATTCTCTCCCGGGACCTCAAGTGGGAATTGAACATCAGCTCCCTCACCAAGAAAGCTCAACAGAGGATGTACTTTCTACGGCAGCTGAAGAAATTCAACCTGCCAAAGACAATGATGGTGCAATTCTATACAGCGATCATTGAATCCATCCTCACCTCCTCCATAACCGTCTGGTACGCTGCTGCCACTGCCAAGGACAAGAGCAGACTGCAGCGTATCATCCACACTGCTGAGAAGGTGATTGCCTGCAATCTACCAACCCTCGAGGACCTGCACACGACAAGGTCCATGAGGCGAGCGAGGAAGATTATGGCCGATTTCTCCCACCCTGGACACTCTCTGTTTCAGCTACTCCCCTCCGGCAGAAGGCTTCGGTCCATCAGGACCAAAACCTCACGCCATAAAAACAGTTTCTTCCCATCTGCTGCTGGCCTGTTAAACAAGGCCAAGGGCTAACACTGTTTTTAACATTTGATCTACATAACGACACCTTGCCGATATTAACTATGTTACCCTATTTGTATTTTTTATTTTTAAATTATATCTTAAAGCTATTTTATATTCGATATGTATTTAATTTTATATACTTCAGCCCCTTGGTGTTAGACTTTTAACCCTTATTATAGTAAGACTTGTTTAAAACTTATTTAAGATTTTAGATTCCTATATGTTGAATGTATGCACCATCCTGCCAAAGTAAATTCCGTGTCGGTGTGAACTTACATGGCGAATAAAACCCTTTCTGATTCTGATTCTGATTATACTGTGTGTGTCTTGACCCCTGCCAAACCCCGGAGAGTGACTCAACGAACCCCTGGGGTTCGATCGAACCCAGCTTAAGAACCACTGATATAGATAGTTATAGGAGTGCCTACAACTGGTGCAAGAATAGGTGAATAAAGTGTAAGTAGGTGACTTGTTACGTGTCGGCGTGAGTACTTTTTGAAGACACTACACATAGTTCCATTGATAGTTCCATTTATTTGGTATAGCCCTGTGAGCCATTCGGCTCTTGAATCGGGTGCAACCGCAACAAACAAAAAAATAAACAATAAAACATCTTAAAGTGACTATGCGACTGTGCAAACAGAAAATCCAGTAAAAAACATCTAAATATTCCTGAAATAGCACCGTACACCAAAACTGTGCGCAAAAATCCCAGTGGGATGCAAGTCAAACAACAACAACCACAAGACAACTTAGATTAAGGCCATCAGTCTAACTCTGTACTACAATAAACAAAAACATGGCCAAACCAAAAAACTTTTCGAAATCACAAAAACATGACACGCAAAGTAGCTATGCTTGATTTCAGTGTCAAATATATACACATACACAACATACAATAATACTGCGCTCATATACATAAACCCATGTAGTCTTCGAGATTGGAGTGGTAAGTACGATACAGTAAATAGAGTAACTTTTTAAAGTTGGATGTTTATTTTTGTCCATTGTATGTTAATGTCTGACAATTTCAGACAGTAAACAAATAAAAAAACATATAACACCTAAAAACATGTAATACAAGAATGTGCAAAAAATAATCTATTTTAAATAATTATTTAGTGATTAATTATCCGGAGTTTTTGAAAATATGGCGTTCCCTCCCTCCTGCATAATGAATCGATGATCGACTCTAAACGCGTGATGTTGATTTTAAATGTGGAAGGAAAAACCGGAGGGCACGGAGAAAAATCCATGCGACCACGGGGAGAGAGACACTGCAAACTCCAAATATACAGCAGGGGTCAGGGTCGGGATCGAACCAACGACCTCCCGTATACCAGGCGAGGTAGTTAACATCTCTTAGCCACCGCGACGCCCTCTATTTCACACAGACGGAGCAGGTGGAGTCCACGTTTGACGGCCTCAAGGTGCACCTAGCCTGGCACAAAAGGGGCCGTGGCCATCACGGCCGCAGGAACAGCCCACGGGAAACGAAACGCCATCGATTCAAGAATCGCGACGGCGAATCGCTCACACCGATCGCCTCGGAATCGACAGTCGACGCCGTCGAGTGGTGACGTCACGCAACGTGCGACGATCACTCGAAACGCCAAATGACGTCACCGAGGACCTCAAACTTCCGAGACGTGAGGGGAGGACGAGGGTCCGCGTCAAACCGCGCGTCTGGGTTCAGGCACCGCCGCTTTTGCGTGCCGCGCGCCCGGCTCAGACACTGCGCAAGTTGCGTGCGCGCGCCCGTTGCCTCTCTCTCTCGAGCGGGTGCCGCGCGTTCTTTACGATACAGTGACAACCTTTTAGCGGAACAGCGCGAACGAATTCAGCCGCACTCGCCCTTCGTTAACTCGCCCGCTCGCCCTTGGAGGAGGGCGAAGGGGGGTTGGGGATGAGCTGGGGGGGCGCAGCCCGCGCGGCCCTCGCCTCCGCTCCGCTTCGCCCGCAGCTCGGCGCGCTCGCCGTGGGCTCACGTGGGGGGCTCGCGGGGTCGCGCGCCGTCGCCGCCTCCTCACGTGGGTTGTTGGCGCGCGCCCCCGTCACGTCACGTGGTGAGTTCGGGGGGTCGCGCGTTCCCGTCACGTCACGTGGGTTGTTGGCGCGCGCCCCCGGCACGTCACGTGGGCTCGCCAGCCGTGCGGGCTCGCACCCTGACGACATCGAAAGCGAAGGGCGCGGCGCGAGTGACGTCACAGAGTCACAGGTAAGACGTGACCTCACGTTGTGCCCCCCCCCCAACGAACATGCCAGATGTAGAGGTTTTTAACCTCTTAAAGCTGTTCGGTCTAAGGGGCTGTCCATAAATGACGTCACGCGATTTTGGACGATTTTTGACCTCCCCCCTCGTCTCACGGCGTCACAAAAAGTCAGACCCCCCCTCAAATATGACGTCACAAAGCTCTGCCTCCCCCCCTCCCAAAACCATATTTTCATTTTTAAAGTAAAACATGCTTAAAATCGCTTTAAACTATTGTTATTGTAGTGCATATTTAATGTGGCACTGCACTCTGATTAAGTAGAACGTGTCTATATTTAAGTTGCGCATTTTGATGTGACGTCACATTTCTCAACCCCACCCCCCTCGTCACACATCGGCACAAATGTCTGACCCCCCCCTAGGTGCGTGACGTCATTTATGGACGGCCCCTAAGGTCACGTTGCGGATGAACATTTACAATTTTCCAGTGACAGTTTACGAAAAAGCTTTTGGGTCATTTACATATTTGCAGCATTATAATAATTGTGGTAAGGGAACGATTTTGACTTAAACTTTAGTGACTGCAGGAATTCATATTCTATGGTTCTTTCGTTAAAGTAACTTTTTTCGGTAAAATTACTTTTTAATCGGTAAAATCACTTTCTAATCACTTTCTTTTTATTTTTTCTATCTACTTGGCTTACCGAAAGAACCATAGAATAATGGAGACGATGTCATGGGCTGTTGGCTGTGAAAATAAAAACGATTCGGAATTACGGATAAATCCGAAATTCAGAATTGCATCCTGAGTACAGATCATTGGTGACAGCCCCAACGTTTGATAAGCTTACAATTATAAATGTTAATCTACAGCCCTTTGGCGATTCACTCCGTTATGAGGGCTGCTCCCCCCATGCAGTGTCTCTCGCGGGGGTTCTTCACCATATTTCACCACGGCTGCTCTGTGTGGGTCGATTAAGGCGCGGAGCATAGAAGTGCAGTACAATGATGAATCCTGCTGCACTGTCCTCTTTTTGGCATGGTAGACACAGGGCGGCGAGACGCTGCACGAAGATCCAATAAAAATGTGTCAATAGCGAGTTTAATGTTAGAGATTCATACCTGTCAACCCCTTATCAGTGCCCTACCTTATTACAGACCAATTCAGACATTATTGATTACCCAGTATCCTTATAAATCTTAACGTTCATCCTACAAAGTCCCATCATAAGGGAGAAACACAAACAAATAGATATTTTGTTGCCCGTATTTAAACGTCTGTATGCCGTACGGACCTGAAAACTCAATTTCCCTGTACAAGAATACGGAGAGAACTGTATGGGTTGACAGGTTTGTAGATTTAAAAGGAAAAAAAAAACATTTAAAGTCACGGTTATTCCGACTAATAATGTAGCCTCGTGTTACAACACGCGGTGCATGACGGGAGCCGGCACACGGGGCCACGTCACAGTACTCGGTGCATGCTGGGGGCTGGCTGTGTGAAGCCGTTGAAGCTCTGCACCAAGGCAGGGGGATTTCACACTCCGCTGGTGGTGATGTTTATTTACTGGGCCTGGCAGTTGATTTTAAAAAAACCCCATTAATTCCAACTGAGGTTGAAAGCGTTAATGCGGTGTCGTTCACCGCAAGGCCACCGCGGGTGCCCTGGCGGGCCCCAGGGGCCTTTAGTCCAGCACCTGACCTGCGGCCCCCACCGACGATACACAAAGAGTGAAAACACCCCCCATTGTCATCATCATCGTGCTGCTGTAAAACCCAACAATGGTTTCAAATGTGTGGTGGCCCTCACCACACTCCCGATGATGTCTTATCGGCGACAGTGGGCCCCCCCTTCTGAAAATTAATGAAGAACATTGCCATTAATGTATTCCCTCTATTCGTCTATCTCTGTCCGTCTGTAGCGGTAAGTCTCGATAACTCTTTATCGATCCAATACGAAGACATATTGCTGTGATTTGTAGTGACTTGCCCTTCAGGAAACACGGCCAGATTGATCAAATGGTTGCCTAAAACTGCACTAAATATAAAAGCCAGCTTCTCACGCATTAACAGACAATGTTCCATCCTTTGGTTGCCACTCCACCAGCATGCTTGACCATCAGCTATCATCTCTTCAAGATGTCCCTTAATAACTCCCAATAAAGTGGGTATCATGAACCCAACAATCTCACCTCCGATTAGCATGGTTGGCTACGTACGGTGCAAAAGAAGTTCAACATACCTATAACTAGCAGCAGATCTATTGAGTGGTATGACCAATTTATCCCACAAGCACCGAACATCACAATGCAGGACCCTCCTAAATGTGTGTCTTGGTGATTCATTGAGGTGTTGCTGCATAAACTTCGTGCATTTGTTATAGGCCAGGTGTGTCCAAACTTTAATTCCATAAGTATTTTCAGAATCGCCACCACCTCTGTCCTCCACAACACATTGCAATATGGTGTCCAAGACCATTCACTAAATTATATCACGCACTCGCACAAACGAATTAACTTTAGCACTGTCATTTAATTTCAGAGCCACGGTGGTACTTTTTTATATATGTCCTGAAGTTTTTCTCTCCACGTTAAAAAAAACATGCGTTTAAGAGTATTGGGCTGCTATAAATGTCCAGGTGATAAGCCACTGTATGAGCTCTCATTTGTGATAGCCAGGTTGCTTCTGAAAAAGAGCTTTATAGCTCAGTGGGCCTTACGTGGTAAAATAAAATATAGTTTATAGTTTAATGGTACAATGAAGGGACACGAGTTCGTGGGTCGGATTTTGCCTCTTAAGAGCCCTGTTGTTGCAGGTGTAGATGATGGCGTTTCCACTGCCCCTTGTTCCCAGGTCGCGGATGCTGCCTCCTCACCCCTTGTCCGGCGCGGCACGTGGCGCCGTTCCCTGTCCCCAGCCGCACGCCTCGCCACCCTCCTGGGTCCCCAGAGCCTCAGCCCTGATGCGGAGTCTGCGGGACAGGAGGCACAGGGCCAAGGCAGCTATCCGTCGAATGAAACGCAACCTGACACCAGCATCAAAGGCGTGGACGAGGACACGCAACACGGTGCCCGACATACGGACGACGAGTCGCGACCCAACGTCGCACACGCGGGCAAAGAGATGGAGCCCAGCAGCGCGCACGCGGCCGAAGAAATGGTCGCTTTGCGAAATGGCCCCTGTGTCAAACCCCATCCCAAAGAGCCAAAGATGGGCGGTGAGGGTCGTGAAGGGGCGTGCGCGGTGCGTGACGATAGGCCGCTCGGCTCTGCGGAGCGGTGCCTTGGGGTCGGGGACCTGGTGCTGGTGGAGAACCGCAAGGGGAACGTCGTCAAGATGCAGAAGATGCTGAAGTTGAAGGAGGGTGAGTTCCAGCGTGTAGCCGAGTGCGATGTCGCGTGTGTTGGGAAGACGCGTATGTGCGTGCGTGCCGAGTGATGTAAGTGGGAAGTGATAGTGTAGCGGTTAGCGCGCTGCGCTACGAATCCGGCAATCCGAGTTAGATTCCCGCTCACGGCCAACACCAGTGACGATTATCTGAACTGGCCCTGGGCCTCCTCTAGGTTGACTCAGCCTCAAATAAGAACCTGGTGAGGCGTCTAAAACATCACCACTAGGCAGATAAAGGCGGTTGTGGCGCGGTGCTGGCCACCCACCCCCTCGTGTAGTACCGTTCCGGCCTTCATAGGTGCTTGCCAACAGCACTTGCCCCTACGGTCTGTTCAGGCTATATGGGGGATTTTTGTTTTGTTGAGTGACATCTGTATCAGCAGTAAGGCCTGCTAAACAAATGCTGCTGTGCAGTGTATGGATGGAGGTGGACTTTTATGTCAAGCATAAAATCACTGCAAGAACAATGAACGGGGTAGAGTAGTTTATTTAATGTGCATGGGGATATTTCTCTCTGTGATAATTTTGTGGAAACCTGGCTTGTGTTGAATGTTTTTTTTTGCAGGCGCTGAGTGATTGTGTGCTGTGAGCGTTGAGTGGGCACGTAGACCCAAGATATTTGACAACGGCTTTTTTGTGTTTAGTTTGTTGTCCTTCCCCCATGCCCCCAATTAGCACGGTTGGCTACGTACGGTGCGAAAGAAGTTAAACATACATACATCTTCCTTTTTTCCTTCTGCCTATGGCTGACTGCCTCTGTTAAACATGCCCATTGTTTCTGTACAGCATCTTGAGATCATGTTGTATTTAGACATTATTCAAATCCAAAGTGTGTCTTATGTAATGATTCATCAGTTGATTTAGCTTTTATTTTTAAGCTCATCAATAAATGCATATGCTCGTGCACATAACAATCATTCATTATAAAGTATTTTCGAATTGATCGCGATCTAAATCACAACACTTTATGAATAATATTGGTCGCGAAAGCTTACTTGTTAAAGTCACGTAAAAGTATAAAACAACAAAAAATAAAAATACAAAAATAAAAAAATCACTACATTTCGGCCACAACACAAGTGGCCTTCATCAGGTGAAGGGACCAGACTGTCTCGAGGACAGCACTGGAGTGAACACAGCCAAGCTCAGACCGCGACCTTTAAGCTTGTGTGAGAGGAATTAAGGTGCCTTGACAAAGGAATTAGCATAAAAAATAGCATTTAATTGGCGGACTTAGCATGATGAACGGTGTAGAGGGGGTGAACATGTGCAGACCAGCGAGGTCACGGTCTGAGCTTGGCTGTGTTCACTCCAGCGCTGTCCTCGAGACAGTCTGGTCCCTTCATCTGATGAAGGCCACTTGTGTTGTGGCCGAAACGTTGTGAATTTTTGTTGTTGTTTTATACTTTTACGTGACTTTACCGAATAGAACCAAAGAGTATGGATCCTTGCAGTCACGAAAGCTTCAAATCTAGAACCTACTTGTTAAATACACGTAATAATCAGTTTATAATTTATCCAAAATCTATGCACATTTAATGAAATTTTTGCCTTTAGGCCAACGAATTAAATAATATAGAACTAATAAAACACAACGTACAAGACGAACAATACAAATGAGACTAAAAAGAATCGATTCTTGAATGGATTCGAGACCCCCCCCAAATCATTATATTACGTTAAACCGCAGGTTGAGTGAATCTCTCTTGTGAGCGACGAGTGAACGTGCCGTGAATGGACTGATTCGTGTGTTGTAAGTGTTGGTTGTGATGTCGGATTATGAGCGTTGATATCGTTTGCCGGTGGCCGAGACTAACTTGGGAGTGGCAGCCAAAGGAGGAAAAACACCCAGTGGGTTTTGTTTACTGCTGAGATGGAGTGATGAAATCATCTCTTGTGCAGATGCTCGGTGGATCGTTACATCGCAGGACAATGAGAGATGGTGACAGCTTGGGGAGGACTTCATCCAGAAGTAGATAGGTCATAGCTGCTGCTGATAAGATGATGTCAATGCTGTGCAAGTTGTGAGTATTGTGTGCATGTAATTTTCCTCTTCCAAACACTGGCCATTGACAAGCATAGACAGTATCAGGAATTTGACTTCTTCTGTGGACGATTCCAATGTTAAAATATCCGTGCTCGGAATCACCAGGAGAAACCCATCCCCTCGAATGGAGATGCAGGAATCGTCATAGACATGAATGGGGAACGGCATCTGTGGACGATTCCGAGAAGCGCCATTAATCTCAATGTAAATTCCCACATTTCCATTCAAATGAATGGGAGTTCTAGCAGCGGCTACGCATGTACGTACGTTGAACTTATTTCGCACCGTACGTAGCCAACCGTGCCAATCGGAGGTGTGTGCTCTGCTGGCAGGCAAGCGCCTGCATACGATGTGGGGTTCTCTACAGCACAGCGACCTCGTGGGCCGCATGCCCGGCGTGGCCGTGAAGGCGTCTGAAGGCGCACTGTTCGTGGTGCGGCGCCCGTCTCTCTACGAGTTCACGCTGTTCATGTCGCGAACGGCCACCATCGCCTACCCCAAGGTGGGATTTTGCGCACGCTCGCCTGTTCACGCTCGCCCATTCATTCCGTTTTGCCATGTTTCACATCTGCTTAACGATGAGCATGGTTGCCGTGATATAAGTTCAATCAATCTTCATTTTACGTGCCAATATCGCCTTCAATAAAGTAGGCATTGCTGTGCATTACAACAGAATGGGAATGGTACAGGAGGCATACAGCAATAGGAATTTTTCAGATGTTCATCTGCGACTGTCTGGAACGCTCTTCCTTCTAATATTCGGAAGCCACTGGAGTTATGCATCTCGATTGAAAACTCATTTCTTGAGAAATGCTTTTCGTATTTATAGTTTGTTGTCCTTCCGCCGCACCTCCGATCAATGCGGTTAGCTACGTATGGTGCGAACGAAGTTCAACATACATATGAATGAAAAAAAGAAACCCATCGCACCTTCAGCGGCTAACACCGACTGAGCAAAGTAGATTGCAACCGTGCGTAATGAATAGTATAAGAAAGGTGAGTAGAAAATACAAATTAATAAAAGGAATGAAAAGTAAAGTTGTCACAATGCGATATGTTGATGAAGTGATAATTATCACGATATCAGTTTCCCATACCTTGGTAATTGTATTTCGCTCTTGTGTTGTACTTGATCACTTTTCTGTATTTCATGTACAAATAAATATTACATAATGTCTACAATTAGATTGCAACAAGTATTCTCACCGTTGCTACTTTTACAATCTATAGCAGACACGGACAGCCAATAGACAGTGAAAGAGACACAGTCACAGACTAGGAAAAACACCGAGCGAAACAGAGAGAGAGACGGACACGGAGTCAGATAGAGAGGATCATGGCAGATGGACAGAGGAACATGACAGACAGAGAGGGACATGGCAAGAGACAGAGAGCCACTTGCCACTTCATCAGAAACAGTGCTGCTGCACATTGCGATCAAAACCTTTGCATTCTAGCACATACGCTTAAGAAGCTGTAAAACATTTGATGGCAGTAAAGTCATGACCAAATCACTCTGTGTGCACATGGTCTCATCAGATCTCATAAGTTAAGCAGCCTGCAAACATGGATAGTGCTTGGAAGTGTGACCACCATGTATAAAACGGACATTATAGGCTGCTGTGGGTGTGCTTTGCCAACAGTGCAAGAAAAATACATTGTTGTACCGTACTATGTTCCAACGTCTATGTGCCCCACCTTTGCCAACTCGCGCTGACCAGCGCGGTGAAGTACGACCGTGTAAACACCCACAACTCGCACGGCTTCGGGAGGCCCTCATACAGCAGCGGATTGACAAAGAGCTCAGCGTAATGAGCGTGGGGGGCAGGGGATGTCTTGTCCCCCCCCCACTTGATGGCCAAACCTACGAGTTGGGCCCCCCTTGACAACCACCATGAGATGTTTTCTACAATGATGTACAAGAACAAAAAGTATTTAAAACGCGGTTTACATGTATTTTCATGAAAATGCTTTCGATTACATTCCACGATTTATTGTATTTGAGTTAAGAGCAGTAACGTTTGGCGATCGTGCGAGACAAATCAAATATTGGGGGCCCCACCTGACTGATTACCGCACCCCCTGAGCTGATAATGTCGTTACTACGCTATTGTAAATGACTGTCCATGTACATATCTTCTGACATAGTAATGATGATGGCAGTGGTGATCACGCTGATGACGACAATGATGGTAATGACCCGAGCGAAGGAAATGGTGGTGGTGATGGTTATGATGGCAGCGATATAAACCAGTGAAAACGATGGGTGTAGCAACGATACTAATATTGATGGGAGACGATGTTAATTGGTGGTGTCTATTATTTAGTTGTCATTGGTGATATAACAGACCGTACAAAATATAACGACGTAATGCCTGATCCACAAATACGAAGGAGACAAGACAGCGATACACTCCGCTACTCCTGACGCGGTTGTCTGGCTTGACCACCTGATTGTGAAATTGTAGTTGTTGTCTCTACGTCAACATCAGCCGTACGAAAGAAGAAGATTGGGGATATTCTTTGGTAAAGTCACGTAGATAGAAAAATAATAAAATAATGCTTTATTATTTTATGAATTCCTGCAGTCACGAAAGCTTTAAGTCAAGATTGGTGATAATGAGGACCAAGATAGTAAGCATGATGATGGTTATGATGAAGGTCATGATGAAGGTCATGATGACGGTTATGATGATGGTTATGATGATGGTTATGATGGTCATGATGATGGTTATGATGGTCATAATGATGGTTATGATGATGGTTATGGCGGTCATGATGATGGTTATGATGAAGGTTATGATGAAGGTCATGATGATGGTTATGATGATGGTTATGATGGTCATGATGATGGTTATCATGGCAGGATGTGAGTGCCATGCTCATGCACCTTGACCTGAGACCGGGAGACGTGGTGCTGGAGGCCGGGTCGGGGAGTGGAGCCATGACGCTGATGCTGTCCGGTGCAGGTGACCCCTCCCGCTGCACCGTTTGATTCACCCACGTTTACCACGCCACATTTCACCATGCCGCGCTTCACCGTGGGACACTTCACCGTGCCCCGGGGGTCGGCAACCAGAATAACAAGAAGAGACATTTTTTTTCCAATTAGGTAAAATAAAACCTCAATATTTCAAAAGAGCCGCAATGGATGTGAATACGAGACGGTGGTCCTTAATAAATAATGTCACGAAAACAGTCCTTAATGAGCCACAGGTTGGTGACCCCTGCCCATGGCAAACTGAGCTTCCATGGCAAACTGGACTTCCATGGTAAACTGGGCTTCCATGGCAAACTGGACTTCCATGGTAAACTGGGCTTCCATGGCAAACTGGACTTCAATGGTCAACTGGACTTCCACGGACAGGGGTCGGCAAACAAAATAACAAGAAGAGCCATTTTTTTGGAATTCAGTAAAAAAAACAACTCTTTCAGGAGCCACAACGCAGTCTCCGGAGCCACAGGTCTTGCTGACCCCTGACCATGCCACACTTTACAATGCTGCATGAATAAAACGACTTTTCCTCATGTAGCCTTTAACAAACCGTTGGGGTAAGTTCTGTTGGCAAGCGCCTATTAATTCCTGCACAGCGTACAATGTGGTGGTGTGGCTAGCGCCAGGTTTGGTATTGTTGCCCTTCCCCAGTGCCGATGTTTTGTACATTGTATCAGGTACTCGTATGAGGCTGACTCGCCCTAGAGGAGGCCCATATCACGTTTTGGATATCCATGGATTGTATGTTGAACTTCTTTCGCACCGTACTTAGCCAACCGGGATAATCGGAGGTGCGGGGGAAGATACAACAAACTAAACACAAAAAGCAGTTCTAAAGAAATTAGTTTTCAATCTAGATTTAAACTGCAAAGCTGCAGTGGCGGCGTTAGCGATTGTCGGGAATTGATGCCAGGTCGCTGGCTTTGTAGGGCAGTATATAAACACACTTTTACAACTATTAAAAAATAATAATAGGTTAAACACTTTCTGGCAATAAAACAGGTATTAAGATGTTCAAACACCAAATAGAAACCTTTTTCAAGGAATCATGTCTGCATTATTGTGGTGAACATGCAAACAAACATGCTCTGATAATATATGCATTGTCTTTGAAACTGATTGGCCTACACCAGAGACAGCCTTCTTTAGGGCCTAGTCTCAACCAGTGTTAGGCCAGAGCAAAACGAAAAAAGAGGAACAGCACAAAGATAATGCCACTATCGGAGCATTTAAAGCTCGGGGTGAGCATCTGCAAAATGGGACCTTTTTTGCCAGTATCAAAATATGAAAAAATACGAAGAGGTTTTACCCTTTCTGACACTTTTACAACTCGTAGTCAAGCCACTGGTTGTATATATGAATGTTGAACTTCTTTCGCACCATATGTAATCATCTGTGCTCATCGGAGGTGCAGTGAGGGTGGGACCAGAAACTAAACACAAAAAGCAGTTATAAAGAAATTAGTTTTCCATCTTTAATAAATTATATTTCAATCTAAGAAATTGGTTTTCAATTAGATTCGACTCGCAACCGCATGATGCGCATCACTTCGACATGGCCCACAAGCAATATCCGTCACTGGGCATCTTGGCTGCACTAATCAGGTACTAGAGGGGAATATTTTTGACCTGGCTATAGCACGGTGTTTCTAATTTTAGTCTGATTCTGTCACAGCTGAAAGTCCTAGCAGTGACAGAACAATTTCTGACTTTAAACCCCACCTAATTTACTCCTGGTATGAGGACAACCGTTTATTATAAACCTTGCTGACAAGTGCGCCCACCTCCGTTGCGTTTATGGCCATCTGCCACAATGCACAGCGCGTTGTAACGAGGGCCCCCCTCTCTCACCATGTCAGTCATGGGGGCAGAGGGGGTTGTTGGTCAGTGCGGGGGTTGGCGAAGGGAATGGAATGCCCTAGGACCAGTTCAGTTATCGCTCACCACTGATGTTGGACGTGACTGGGAATCGAACTCACGTCACCGGGGTTTGTAGGGCATAGCGTAGACCATCACGCTGTAGCTCCACCACCAAAAAAAAACGCACTACGAGCAGCACACGCGAACATCGCAGCCCGTCACTGTCACCCCGCCCCCCATCGCCCACCACCATCGGCCCCTTATCCTCCTACCACTTTCGCTCACCCCCTTTTCCCCACCACAGTGTGGGAGCCTGGCCACGTGGTGTCATGTGATGTACGCGAGGATCACCTGCACGTGGCTCAGAGGAATGTGGCGTCGTGGCGCTCTGCGTGGGAACAGGCGCGGGGCGTCGACTCGTGGCCGCGAAACATCTCCTTCCTGAAGGCGGACGTGCTGCGTGACACGCACCTCACCCACCAGTACACGTACGACGCGGTACGCACTTAACCCGGCAGTACACGTACGACTCTGTACGCACTTAACCCGGCAGTACACATACGACTCTGTACGCACTTAACCCGGCAGTACATGTACGATGCTGTACGCACTTAACCCGGCAGTACATGTGTGACGTGTGGTGATGTTGGTGTCGATGATAGTGCTACGGTTAGCGTGCTGCGCTACGAACCCGGCGTCCCAAGTTCGATTCCCGCTCATGGCCAACACCTGTGATGCGATTATCTGAACTTGTCTTTCGCCTCCCCTGGTGTGATGTGTAAACATCACCACTAGGGAGACAAAGGCGTCCCAGCGTGGTGCTGGCCACCCACTTGTGTGCCGTGCCGGACTTCATAGGTGCTTGCTAACAGCACTTGCCCCGACAGACTTGTCAAGGCTATACGGGTGGGATCTTTATCTTTGTTTATAATATTGTGAATGTGATGTAGTAATTACGGTGATGTAAACAGGTTTTTTTTTATTTGATGGTGACGATGGTGGTGATGTAGTGATTGCGGTGATGTAAACAGGTGATGTGGGTGTGGTGATGCTGCAGGTGGTTTTGGATATGCTCAACGTTCACTTGGCTGTGTCATGTGTGCTGCCTGCGCTGAAGCCTGGGGGAGTGATCATGATCTACGTGGCCAAGTGAGAGACGCACTCCACAGAAAGCATTGCCACACCGCTCCGCACACAGCTGACGTGGCATTTATCAGAGAGGACGCTTGAAAAATCTGCTCCGTGTTACATGCTGTCTCGCGTGAATTTGAAGCGTCATTAAAATCGAAGGCATTTGACGCCACACTTTGGAACAAATTCCGTGCCCGTTAAATGCAGCTACCTTACAACATGAACTGGTCCTGGGCATCCGACTCCCTTCACAACGCCCGCACTGACCAGCACCATGTATGGTTTAACACCCACCCTCCCCCACGACTGACATGGTGAGAGAGGGGGGCCCTCGTTACAACGTGCTCTGCATTGTGGCAGCTGGCCGTAAACGCAACGGAGGTGGGCGCACATGTCAGCAAGGTTTATCATAAACGGTTGTGCTTATACCGGGAGTAAATTAGGTGGGGTTTCAAATCAGAAATTGTTCTGTCACTGCTAGGGCCTTCAGCTGTAACAGAAGCGGACTAAAATTAGAAACACCGTTCTATAGCCAGGTCAAAAATATTTCCCTCTAATACCTGATTAGTGCGGCTAAGATGCTCACAGTGACGGATATTGCTTGTGGGCCATGTCGAAGTGATGGGTCTCACGTGGTCGCGAGCCGTATCAAATTGAAACCTCATTTCTTAGATTAAAATGTTAATTTATTAAAGATTGAAATCTAATTTCTTTAGAATTGATCTTTGTGCATTTAGTTTCTGGTCCTTTCCCCCGCACCTCCGATTTGCGCGGTTGGCGACGTACGGCGCAAAAGAAGTTCAACATACACACGTACACACACAGAGCCCCATACTCTTCTGGGCTACACTTGCGTCGGCCACAACGTGCGCCACTTCAGTGGCAGACGGGTGGCTGCGCAGCGGTGATGCGGGCGCACTCAGGACCACCTGCCCCACGTGTGCACGTGCGTTTGTGCAGCATCACGCAGGCCGTGGATGTGGCGGCCACCGTTCGGTCGGAGCGGCTGCCGGTGAGCGTCGAGCTCGTGCTGGAGGTGTCCCACCGAAGCTGGGTCATTATTCCCGCGCTGCACAGAGACGGCAGTCCCTACACGAGACCCACGCGGGTCGGCGAGCCGGACAAGGGGGACGGAGGTGAGTGTGGTGCGGCGCGGCGAGGCCTCAACACCGCCCAGCCCACAGTAGCTGGGTCTGTGCCACAACCTTGACTGAGCCGTTACCACACTGCTCATGGCACCCGGGCTTTGCTAATGACCTCAGCCAGCTTTCACCATGCTACCCACGGAAACTGTCATCCCATGGCTTGTCGGTGAACCTTCACACCACCCACAGTAGCTGGCTCCGTGTCATGATCTCTTATTATGCCTTCACCACACTGCTCACGGTGTGGAGAGATGATGACCAATCGTCTGGATTTAAGAAGAGGAATTGAGAGTGGCTGTGTCCACGTTGGTGGGATGCGAGGGCGTGTGTTGTGCCCAGGAGGTCGCGAGGGTTTTGGGCGACAATAACCCTTCTCCCCTCCCCTCCCACATATTTTTTAAACAGGGTTTGAGAAGCCATCGCTGCAGAACCCCCGGCCATTCGTCTGTCGGCCAAACTCGGAGCAGTATGGGCACACAGGTGGGGGGTATGGGGGGGTGCGTGTACTGTGGTGGCGTTGCGCGGTGCTTGTTGGCTCGGCGATGTTTTCGTGGGTGGGTGGTGGACGCCGCCGTGCCGCGTTGGGCGGTGTGTATAAAGGGTAGACGATCACGTCTGGTGCGGAGGCTCACGTGAGTTGGCATCGGCAAACTTCATTGCACGTGAGTTCTTAACCATTTTACCCATCCCGAGGCGGTCTGCAAGTTGCTGGGTGCGGTGTCCCGTTCGCCGCAGAATGTCAGAACGTGCAAGCGGTTCGCCGTTAGTTTCATTTAGAGAGGCGTAGCGCTATTGTTTTTAAAGACATTGCACTCACCGCAGAGAACCGTAGCGACACGACCGAACTCTACGATAGCTGGCGCCAAACTGTGCCACACGCCCTCCCACATGACCTTGTGGGAGCCTCGGGTACGTCTTCCGACCTGAAGACGTACCTAATAAAAATTATTTTCTTTTGATTTTTTTCTTATGATTTCGTTCCGATGACGTACACATACATCACCGGAATGGGAGAGGGTTAACAGTCAACATAATATTGACTGTTAAGAAACGTAAGTGTGCTCGGGCAGCAGGACGCATCGTCATTGGCATGGACGATAACCGACGGTCGAGACTAAAGGAGGAGTGGTTGCCAAAAAAAGGGAAACGCGGCCAGGAGAGGACATCCACCACGGAGACGGAGAAATGGAATCAGTTTGTGTGCTGGAGCTTGGGGAGTTGTTGCATCATAGGGCCTTGAGGGGTGAAAACGGCATGGAGAGATCTTAATACTGCAATGGTTAGATCATGGTCGATGATGATGAGGTGTCAGACTCCCACCTTCCAAGGCGATGAGGTAATCGATAGCAGTACAGTCTAGCGAATTACTACTGCAAATAACGTGTGCTATGTGACTATATATTGTGTGTGAGTGTATATCATATGCACGTGTATTTATCTCTGTTTGATAATTTTAAGGGTTGTGCATGTGTAAAAGTATTGCTGTGTTTACATGTGTAGTGAGTTCAACTGAGTCACAGATGTACTCCTTGGAGGAAACACATTAATACCAAAACAAAGGGGTAACTGCCCCTTCACCAGATAACAACCTCCGGTGGTGGACCACCAGGCTAACTACACTAACTTAACCGTAACTAGCTACATGACCACCAGGCTAACTACACTAATTACACCGTAACTAGCTACGTGACCACCAGGCTAACTACACTAACTACACCGTAACTAACTACATGACCACCAGGCTAACCACACTAATTACACCGTTACTAGCTACATGACCACCAGGCTAACTACACTAACTACACCTTAACTAGCTACATGACCACCAGGCTAACTACACTAACTACACCGTAACTAGCTACATGACCACCAGGCTAACTATACTAATTACACCGTAACTAGCTACATGACCACCAGGCTAACTACACTAATTACACCGTAACTAGCTACATGACCACCAGGCTAACTACACTAATTACACCGTAACTAGCTACATGACCACCAGGCTAACTACACTAATTACACCGTAACTAGCTACATGACCACCAGGCTAACTACACTAATTACACCGTAACTAGCTACATGACCACCAGGCTAACTACACTAATTACACCGTAACTAGCTACGTAACCACCAGGCTAACTACACTAATTACACTGCGAGTAGCTATAACGGACAGAACCCCGCCTTGGGTCCAGGCACTACGTGTTGGTGACTCTTCTCAGACGTCGAACGTAGATTCTTCAGGATGACAACAGCAACGCTCAACCCCGGTCCCTCTGGGGACCCGGCTTATATCCTCACTGGTCGTGGCTGGCTCCGCCCTTGGCCACGACCACCTTCTCAAATCCTCTCGCCGGTTCCCGACCCAACACGTGACCACCCCTAGCCCCCACCTGGGGGCCCTGTGTAGACTTTACCGGCCACGTGTCCTTCGGGGTCAACCAGAGTGCCATGGCCCTTTGTAACCCCATTCCCATGGCCGGCACTCTCACACCCTACCCTGTAGGGGTTGGCACTGCACGCAGAGCGTGGTGCCATCCAGCACTGCCAGTCAGCGCTCACCGAGCCCCTCTAGGACCGGTACTGCACCCTCATATACGTGGTGCCTGCGATGTCAATACGTCGCACTCCGTGCCTCTCTCGAGCCGGCATCACACAGTGAAATCCGTGATGTCACTATACATGTACAACCCCATGAACGACAAGGCGTGGAAAGTTTTTTTTTTACAAGAGCCCATTGAGAGGAGTCTGCTCTTATGCAAGAGAGGTTTGTGTGGAGTAGATATGGTGGTGATCTCTATTTGCAGGTTCATGTCATTTTAATTTCTGTATCGTATATTTTGTTAAGGCGAAATGAAATTATAATGCGTGGATTGTATTTTTTCACAGCTTTCCTCATCAAGCTGCGAAAGATACTGCCAGAATAACCACGCGAGGATGCCTTCAACCAGCGGTGGATTGACACAGGGTTGCGAATTATTCTTACCGAATGTATGATGCTAATTCCTTTGCCTGAACGATGTTAATAAATATTTTGTATTACGACGTTTGTAAAATGTGTGGTTTGTGTGTGACGCTCTGAGCTGATTCAGCATTACTCTTTGGTTCTATTCGGTACAGTCATGTAGGCAAAAAATAAAACAACAAAAAATCACGACGTTTTGGCCACAACACAAGTGGCCTTCATCAGGTAAAGGGACCATACTGTCCAGAGGACAGCGTTGGAGTGAAGAAAGCCAAGCCCAGGTCGCCTCCTTTAAGCTATGAGGGGGTAAACAGAAAACGCCTTGACAAAGGAATTAGCATAAAATGTGCCACTGTGAGAGCTTGGAATTAGCATAAAATGCTGTACTACTGTGAGAGTTTGGGATGCCACTACTTGAATAAATATACTGTACCATTGAAAATTAGTTTATTGTTTGGTTCGATTTAGAACATCTTTCCAATGATTGCTTAATTTGAAACCATCCTCTCGGTTGAAATTGTGTCTGTGTTTGTAAATCTGAATTGCCTCGTGAACAAATCTCTGATAAAAACCCGTGGGTTTGCAGAGAACCTTGGTATCGGAGAAAACTATATCGTGATCACCCACAGCGTTGTAACAGTGATCAGCTACGGCAAAATAATTCGTTCTGTCGTGTTTCAAATCTGATTTGTGCTCGTGAATTCGGTCAGGGACATGTCGTTTCGTCTCCCCGATATAGCAGTCACCACAGGTGCAGATCAATTTGTAAACCCCAGGGTACTGTAAGTCAGGAATGACATCCTTCACGGATGGGATCAGGTCACGAATTTTAAGTACTGTATTGAACCGGACCAGGATCTTGTGTTTGTTTAGAATTTTGGAGATCTTTTTAGTAACGGCTGCTATATATGGTAGTGTGATGGTTTTGATCGGAGTATCAAGTGGTTGTTTCTGTATGGAGGGAGAAACAACTTGGCGGATGGTACGGTCAGAGTATCCGTTCCTTTTGAGGCCCAGATGTACATGTTTTAATTCACTGGTCAGGTGGTGTTCGTCCGAAATGCAATGAGCCCTGTGGTATAACGTTTTGATGAGAGAATTATTTTGTGTCGGGTGGTGGTGGGAATCAGGTTTCAAGTAGGAATCTGTGTGGGTGGGTTTCCTGTAGACAATGTCCCAATGAGTCATCAGGTCTCCTCTCAAACAGAACATCCAAGAAAGGCAGCTTGCCATCTTTCTCCACTTCCATGGTGAATTTGATGGCGGGGTGTCTGGAAAAAAACATCAAACTTAGCTAAAAATTAAAAGCAATTTTAAAATGTTGAGTTTTAGTCAATGATTTGAACGCTGGAAGGTCTGTGCAGTCACGGATTTGTTTTGGGAGAGAGTTCCAAAGTGAGGGGGCAGCTATAGAGAAGGCTCTGTCGCCCCAGGTTCGATGCTTGGTCCTGAGAGGTGGAGTCAGGAGGTTGGCGTCAGATGAGCGAAGGCTACGGGATGGGTTGTGGCGGTGGAGCAGGTCAGTGAGGTAGGAAGGGGCCTGGTTATGAAGGGCTTTATGTGTGAGGAGGAGGATTTTGAATTGAATTCGTTGTGGGACCGGGAGCCAATGGAGGTTCTGGAGGACAGGGGTAATGTGGTCACCGGTGTGGGTGTGAGTGAGCAGACGAGCAGCAGAGTTCTGGATGTACTGGAGTTTAATTAATGTTTTGGTTGAGGTGCTGTAAAGGATTCTCTTGCAGTAATCGATTCTGGAGGTGATGAAGGCGTGGATGAGGGTTTATGCAGCGGAGAAAGAGAGTGATGGGCGAAGTCTGGAGATGTTTTTGTGGTGAAAAAGGCAGTTCTGGTGATTTGTTTTATGTGGTGTTCAAAGGAGAGGTAATTGTCGAAAATTACTCCAAGGTTGCGACTTTGAAGGGATGGAGACAGGGTGTAGGTGTCGACAGTGACGGAGAAACTGCGAATGGATTTAGTGTAGATTTGGGACCGATGATCATATCTGTTTTGTCGCAGTTAAGTTTAAGGAAATTGGTGTGCATCCACGATTTAATGTCAGCGAGGCAGTTAGAGAGAGTGGAGTGGGTGGCGGAGGTGATGGATTTTGTGGAGATGTAGAGCTGGACATCATCGGCATAGCAGTGAAAGTTAAGACCATGGTGGCGAATTACATTGCCAAGGGGAAGCAGGTATAGTATGAAGAGCAAAGGACCAAGCACCGAGCCCTGGGGGACACCTTGGGACAACGGAGCGGTGGAGGAGGTGCAGTTGTTGATGTGGATGAACTGTTGTCTGTCGGTGAGATAAGATTGTAGCCAGGAGAGGGCGGTGCCAGTGATGTTGAGGGTAGATTTGAGGCAAGAGAGAAGAATGGTGTGGTTGATAGTGTCAAAAGCTGAAGTGAGGTCCAGAAGGATGAGGATGCTGAGGTGACCAGAGTCTGCGGAGAGGAGGATGTCGTTGGTAACTCTGAGGAGGGCTGTTTCAGTGCTGTGTTGTGAACGGAAGCCGGATTGAAATGGTTCGAACAGGTCATTTGAGGAGAGGTAGGTTTTGAGTTGTTAGGCAACAGTGCGTTCCAGTATCTTAGACAGAAAGGGGAGATTGGAAATGGGCCGAAAGTTTGACATAATGTTGGGGTCAAGTCCAGGTTTTTTGAGAATGGGGGTGACAGCAGCCAATTTGAGTGAACGTGGGATTGAGCCAGAGCTGAGAGAGGAGTTAATGATTTTTGTGATGAGTGTGGAGATAGCTGGTAAACAGTCTTTGATGAGGTGGGATGGGGTCCAGGACACATGTTGATGTTTTCATCCCTGTCAAGATTTTAGACAGCTCCCCCGGCGACACTGGGGAGAACTGAGACAGTGGCTGAGAGGTGTGGTGGGGGGGAACAAATGATGGAATGACAGAGCAGACAATGGTAGCAGAAGAAGAGGACAGGTTGGTGTAAATGGTGTCAATTTTGGTCTGAAAGAATGATAGAAAGGTGTTGCATTTATCAGTTGTGAATTAGTTGACGATATTGTCACTGGGTTTGAGAAGTTTATTTACTGTGAAGAAAAGAGACTTTGGGTTGGTAGAACCAGAATGTATGAGGTGTGAGTAGTAGGTGGACCGGGTAGTGTTAAGAGCTTCCTTATACTGCTGAAGGTAATCTGTGTAAGCTTGGAGATGAACAGTTAAACCAGTTTTCTTATGGAGCCTTTCAAGCTGACGCTTACGGGATTTCATTTTGTGCAGAATAGGAGTGTACCAGGGAGCAGAGTGAGTGAATGAGACAGTTTTAGTTTTGATGGGAGCCAGATGATCGATACTGGTGGAAAGTGTTTCATTGTAGTAGTTGGTGAGGTCGGAAGGGTTGTCAGTCACGGGTGGGGGGGAGGAGGATATTTTGCTGGTAAGAGAGGCTGAAAGGGCAGGACTAGAGATGGATTTAAGATTTCTTAAAGAAATTGTCCTTTTGTCCTTGGTTATAGAAATGGGGAGATCAATGTTCAAGGTGATTGCCAGGTGGTCCGAGATGTTGAGGTTGTGGGGCTCGAGGAGCGGTATGGTGAGACCAGTAGAGCAGACCAGATTCAAAATGTGACCACGGCTGTGAGTTGGAAAGTTGACATGTTGGGTGAAATTGAAGCAGTGTAGCAGTTCCAGGAATTCAGTAGCAAATTTACAGTGTCAATGTGGATGTTGAAATCTCCCAGGAGCAGAACAGAAGGTGAGGTGACAGATAACTGAGTTAAAAAGTCCGAAAAGTCAGAGAGAAAGGAAGGATTTGGTTTGGGGGGTCGGTATATTATGGCAGTAACCAGAGGAGTGGGACCAGAGAGTTTGAAAGTGATGTGTTCAAAGGACTGAACAGCAGGGATGGAGATGGAGATGTTTTAATGTCCTTTCTGTACACTGCAGTGACACCACCTCCCCGCCCCTCAGATCGGGATTTGTCCATGTATGTATATCCTGTAGGTGTAGTCTGGTTGAGTGCGAAATAGTCCATAGGTTTATGCCAAGTTTCAGTGATACAGAGAAAATCCAGGTTATTGTCAGTAATGGATTAATTTAAAATGAGGCTTTTATTGTTTAGTGAGCAGGTGTTCGACCCCGACCTTGACGCCTGCTGTGTATTTGAAGTTTGTGGTGTCTCTCTCCCCGTGATTGTGTGGAGTTTCCTCCTGATCCTCCGCCCCCCCCCTCCCCACATTTAGAATCAACGTGCGTTTCGAGTATTTGTTTGCTATAAATGTTTACGTGATGAGCCACTTCGTTGAGCTATGATTTGTGATAGCCAGGTCGCTTCTGAAAAAGAGTTACATAGCTCAGTGGGCTTTACCTGGTAAAATAAAATAGTAAAATAGCCATACTCTGGTTCTTTCGGTAAAGTCACGTAGGTAAATAAAATAAAAGCTAAAAAATAAATGTAGCTGTGATTTTCACACCTGATGATGATTGCTTGTGTTGCAATAGAAACGTCGTGATTTAATTGAATTGATTTATTTTTATCTTATATTTTATTTTATTTACCTACGTGACTTTACCGAAAGAACCAGCGTATGGATCCTTGCAAAGAAAACTTCAAATCTAGAATGAGTAAAATAGCCTTCAATAATAGAGTTGTTTTGGGGTTAGATCGAGTAAATATATAAATGTGTCGTTAAAACCCGCCACCACCCGACACAGCTAACTAGTAAGGGTTGTCACGTAAACAGAACATGCCAATTCGTCACTAGTACAGCACACCGGTATGTTGGAGAGCCAAGCCACAACATTTACAATCTGAGTACGACGTTTCGCCATTAATTACAACTAGCTGAAGTCTAACTTTGTCTTGATTTAAAGCTTTCGTGACTGCAGGGATTCATATTCTTGGTTCTTTCGGTAAAGTCACGTAGAAGGGAAATTTATTGTTTTATATTTGTATTATTTTATTATTTCCCTTCTACTTGACTTTACCGAAAGAACCAAGAATATCTAACTTTGTCGTTCCTTACATAGAGGCATAGATGTGGTAACCACACTTCTGCGCTCTTGTGCAAAGTGGGGGGGGGGGGATTACTGACGCAACGTATATTATGCGAGCCCTTTA